GGGGGGAGACTTCGGGGGCGGAAGGTGCGGGGGGGGGCAACCTTGCGCGCGTTCCTCCTGTTGATGATCTGCACACGCTCCTCCCCCGTCAGGCTGTTGACGTCCATCTTGTTGGGATTGCGGCACCGATGGCGCTTCTGCTTTGGCCGGCCATCCGGGAACTGCATGTCAGTGGTGCCCTGCAGGGGGAGCCGTACGGGGCATAATCACGCACCTCTCTGCATGCGAGACACCTCATTTTTAGGACTCCTCTTCCAAGGCTACACCCTGGCGAGCTCCATCTACATGCCTACGTGGGCACGATGGCCCCCAGGACACAGGAGGAAGTGAAAGCGGGGGCACTCACAGGTAGGCAGGCCCCAGCATCTGCCACGAAACCCGGGTGCGCCCTTAGCCACTGTTCCAACTCTTTCCTCTTGGGGGCGTCGTCACCTGTGAGACGGGTTCCGTCTTTGAGGTTGATGACGGGCACCCTCCCCTCGGGGTCCGTCGGCCCCTGCCTGTACCCCTGTGCTGGCGCCACGGCGGGACTGGCTGGGGCACTGCCATACCAGCCAGCGGATGCCTGGAGGAGAAGACAGCTGTGGTTACTGACCGAATTGCCCCCACCAAGAGGCCCTCCCCGACTTACAGATACACAAGCCACACAAATACCTACAAGAGGGTTCATATACTTTTTGATTTCCATGACTGTTTCATGACTTCAAGCTAAATTTTCAAGAATCGATTCAAGAAAGTTTTTTTGTTGTTCCACCCAGGAAAAGTGAACTATGTTATGTGAGCATTGTATGACAGCATTATAAACATGAACCTGCTGTAGAGAAACCAGCAGTTAGGATTTTGCATTCATCCTTTGGATATGGATGTACCTTCCATTGCATATAATTTTACAGATGTTACCTTTCTCTCGTTTAGACACACACTATTAAAAAAGTAGTAATTAAGTAGTTAAGTAATAGTTTACTTAATATTTGGTCTAATAATGAACTGGACACCCTATTAACCAGAGTAGATTGTGTGTTCCAGCAAGAGATAGATAATTAGTCAATCATTCCTTACATTTGCAATAACAAAAAAACAATTGTACAAGTTAGTGCTAAAAAAGACAAATTATGTGTGCTATTATTACTCTGTGACATAAGCACGATGTAGAAGTAAGAATGAAATATTAAGTTGAAGTGTACTTAATACGTTATCAAATGTGTGACATTGAAATAGCACACGACATTAAAAAAAGACAAAATAATGAAATAGTGCACTTTGCATATGATTATGGAAAAGGTCGTCTTTAGGTGTGTCACATCTGTTAGCATCTGTGTGGGATTATAAACTGTAAATGACTTTATACCTTTATATGTTTATTTTATATTTTAAAATGTGTTCCTTCCAGTAACCACTTGAATGACACTGACACACTCTCGCTCGCTCTCACATGCACACGTCTATTTGTACACTGTCTGATACTTGAACATGACACATTCTGTATCTAAATTTCTCTGTTAGCTTGGACTTATAATGGAGCAATCATTGTCACAGCCAGCACATAAAGCGATCTGTGTCCTCTCAGAACACTACACATATACATGTGCGTTATGGTTTTGCAGTCTGATATTTAGACTTCAAACAGTCATTGCACTTAGCAATACTCCTTTATTATGTATGTTATTTTCTTTTTTAGCGCCATCTAAATCGGGCAAAGTGAGACAGACAGGCACTCAGATGGCCAGCTTCCTCACCTGCTCGTGGGCCATAGGGGTTCTGCTCCTGTTCATGAACAGGACGCCCAATCCTTCCACATTCTTCCTCCTGCCGCGCCTCCTCTTCACCACAGGTGGTGTGTCTGCCGCCATCCACTCCCCTGGGAGGGCACAGGACAGCGTCACAGGGACATTTTCTGCCACATGCCCTCTGCCCCCGAGCCACACACCGTTTACATTCGCCGGTGACACTCGCCCTAGGCGAAGCCACGTGAGTAAACATTTGGGTGACGTTAACCATGAGCTCAGATGCAGAAGCTGACAGACCACATGGCGGTTTGCGTATGAAAAAGCTCCCCTCTACTGTAACGCATGGTGTTATTACCTCCCTAACTGTCAAATAGCAACTTCCTGACTTCAGAGGGGACCGCAGATGAGTTCATGATATTGTTAATACGCTGAGCGGTCTGAGCAGAAACATGAAGGTTCTCCAGCAGAGGCTACCGCTAAAGTGCCTTTGAGGGACTCGAGGTAACTTACTTTAGTACAGTAAAACAAACAAATCTAAATTTTATACTGCAATGCTTAGTGGCTCTCCGTTCATCTGCTACTCCAAGTGGCCTTGGTCCTATAGTTTACACATACCTGGGCCAGTGCTGGGTAAAGGTTTGGTGAAATCAGACAGGCTGGCATCAGCGGCAGCCTGCAGATCATGCAGACGGGCCAAGTACTGCTGCTGATTCGCAGCTCCTTCTTCTGCCTCCAGGGGGCGCTTCAAGAGCAAGCCCTGCTTCTGGAACGTCATCTTCAGGCTTCCCTCCTGCTGAAGAACAACCTTGCATCAAATCGGCGGCCCGAATGCACACATATACACAAAGAGTGCAACGCTGACTGATTCCTGTATATACATGCAGTCATACATTTCATCTAATAGTTTGTTCGGGCCTCTTGTTTTCCTTGGTATTTTGGTCTCAGAGTCAGAAGATTTTTTTTCCCCTACTGCAACTTCTGTAAACCAGAGCAGGGCTAAGAGACCCAAATTAAATGCATAATCGTGTATAATCTAGGAGCACAGAGAGCTATGATCACAGCAAAAGCAATAGGCAACGGAACCGAACTTATAGCACAATCTGCATTAACTGCCACCGTATGTCCACTGTGCTGACGATACAGGCCGATACAATTGCTGACATTTAAAAGCGCAAGTTTTTTTTTTTTTTTTTTTTAATGCCACGAAAAGCAGACACTGTTAGCTCAGGGACAGGCCACAGAAATTTAGAAGGCACCTCTTTATCCAGGACACCTCGAAAGAGAGATTTAGCAATGTTAAATATTAATACTGGAGAATTAAACACAGTATCAAAAGCAGAGATCATACATGTACGCAGAAGGCAGACATTCACACGGAAGAGAGACCATGCTGTGCACGCCACAATCAGGTCCTAGTGAACAAAAAGTAAACATACGTCTTTGATTTTGACTGTAAACTCCTTTTCTGGTACATGCGTCTTCACCTTTGCCATACGCGGGGAGGCCGAGCACTCCTCTCTAAGGCCTGCAGGTCCCGTGGGGCTATCAAGAAGCTTGGTGGTGTAAAATGACGACACCATACCCCCTTCAAATGCACGCCGGGCCGTGGGCCACCTTCCCTTCAGAACTGCCTGACAGATACTGTCCAGGCGGTTGATGATGACCCGGTCCTGCAGGGGGCGACGTGGTGCAATTTATGGAAAACAGTCACAATAAACAGGTGCGCAGTTTCGTGTGTTTGGAGAGGGGTCTAGTCGATGTCGGCACGCTCACCTTTGGCCAGTAGGAGGCAGCCAGCATGAATCCTCCCTGGAAAGGATTGGAGGAGCTGGGCAGGACACTCTCAGGAAGGCTGCCATCTTGTGTCTCTTCCTGTGTGGTGCTCAGCGACGCTACGCTGTCCTCGTCAAAGCCTTTCATGCTCGGCCCTGGCAACGCTGGAAGCACATGTCCCACACGCTTGACCCTCTACAGACACTCGGTAAAACCGGCGAACAGCCCATGTGTCACAGGGCAGCATGCTGAAGACTAGCCAATGAGAATTAGCGATACAGCATGCTAGCTTGAGCAGACGTCTGAACAGCGTCAGCCAGACCAGTGGCCTGTACTACGAAGTGGGGTTACTGGCTTATCAGGGTAACTTGTCGGGTTTAAGGTAGTCTGGGCAAAATGTAAGTGAACGAATATGAAATCCATTTAAACTGTGGTACCTTAAATCCAACAAGTTACCCCGATAAGCCAGTAACCCCACTTCGTAGTACAGGCCACTGGTAACCACCCTCCTGCTTCCCAGAACTTACCAGCCTTCCTGTCCTCCTCTGCATCGCTTTCACCGTCCTCAGAGGACGACGAAGAACCCGAAGAGGAGGAGGATGTGGAGCTGGAACCCAATCGTGAAGAGGACGAGGAGGATGATGATGAAGAAGAGGAGCGTGAAGATGAGCCGGATGAGGAACAGGAGGCGCGGCGCCCCCGGGGACTCCTGGAGCTCGGCTTACAGGCTTTCCTGTGCTTCTCGGCGCTTGATTCGGGTGTGAAGGCCTTGGTGTGCAATGCCTGGGCCTTTTGGAGGACGACCTCTCCCCCTGGGTTCATGGGGGTCCGAGGAACCACCTTGGGACTCCAGGATGCGAGTGGCTCTTTCCTTTCTACATCCTCCGCCTGGAAGATGGGCTCCTGTTTCAGCTCCATCTTGGGGCCTTCATCCGGGGCGGCCGGAGTCTCGGACTCCCGCAGTGGACCACTCAAGGGGGACCCAGTGAGCGAGGTCTGGCCCTGCAACTGCAGGAGCGGCGTGGCGATGCGGGACTGTGAGCCCCTGTGCTGGCTGTAGCTGCTTTGGGCAGCTATGAACACGAGCTCAGGGTCGCGCAGAATGTGGTAGTCCGTGCGGCTGACTCCATGTTTGGCTGCTCCTATCAGCAGGTCGCGGTCGTGGTGCCCTGGCTCCCACCACACGGGTAGGTCAGGGCCCAGCTGGCACAGTGCCAGGCGCTCGCCCAGCTGTGGGTGCCGCAGCACCTGCTCCCGGACCTTGCGCAGCAGTTCGATGCGGTATAGCGTGCGGGACGCCCGCTCCTCCGTGATGGGCTGAATGGAGATGGAGGGGTCAGCGGAATCTGGGGGAGAGGAGGGGGGATAACATGAAGAGGACCGCTCAGCAGATACATGGAGAGCAACGGTCACCGCGGTAACACACACCATCCTCGCGGGCGGGCAGGCGGCACACACGGCGGCACATGGCCGTGAATGCCTGCAGGTACTTTTGCAGACTCTCGTCAGTCTTCTTGTGCAACCGCGCCATGGCGCGGAACTTGGTCCAGTCGAAGTGGCCTGCCTCGGTGTCAAACACCACACCGAAGGTGGACACCACGCGATAGAAGTCCGCCTCCTCGCGCCTGGTCCACCTGAGGAGGGGGCAGACGGCAGCGATTATAGGCACATTCCCGCCAGCATGCTTCGCTTGGGGAACGCTGGCAGCGGGCGTGCGAGCTCACCGCTGCTGACGCTCGATTTTGGCAGCCATCTTGGGAGTGATAGGGTCGGCAAGGGGGGGTGGCGGCGTGCAGGCCGGGGCCAGGGAGGCCTGCTGCGTGCGGTGGATGTGTAGGATCTGCCGGCTCTTCGTATAGCGCTGGGAGGCGGTGATGAGGCGACGCAGCCGTGCAGTGAGAGCCGAGGGCACGGGCCAGTATGCGGCCCCCCCCTCTGCTGGCACTGGGCCGTCTGAGACGACACAGAAATCGCAGTTATCATCATGCTTTAAAAGACGCTACATCGATACTAATTAAAAAGCAGGGCAGTAGCTTATTGATGTCATCGCTGTGTGACAGACTGACCCCCAGCAGCATCAGCGATGACCAGCTCTCCAGGGGAGGACACATCATCCTGCAGAGAGCAGAGGACCAGGGTTCAGCTAATCAGTCTCACTTCCCAGCCCCTCTGTCGGTCCACACACCACTTTCAGATCACTACCTCAGTTTGAAGACAATCAAGTTCGACAGTCAGATTTTTGGTGACGGTTTCCTGTCCCCTGGTCTCACCACCGTCTGCCTGACACTCACCTCCATATCACCCTTCAGCAAGGCCGGCGCAGGCTTGTACTCTGGGTCGTCCACATCCCTGCGGACACGTAGTGACCAAATAATCAGACCAGACATCTAGTTATGACGTTTGGCCAGCGGTTGCAATTTATGGCTACCACAAAAAAGGCATTCAATTATCTCAGCCCAACACAGGGAAGTGTGACCTTAACTACCTAGCCACTGGTGAAGCATTAAAAATGCATGAGAGATGCAGTGAGAGCAGGAGCAGAAGCGGCCTGCATCCCCAGTGCGCTCCGCTTGCTGCCTACCCGTCCATGAAGTCATTGGCCCTCTGCTCAGCCGCGATGGCTTTTTCATCCGGCCGCCCCACCCTCTCCAGGAAGCAGAGTGCAGGATCTGCACGGATCGAGTTGTACTTCTCATAACCTGTGGGAGAGACACCTACGGTTAACAGCCTCTTCTCACCAGGGAATGCAAACCCTCACGGTAGGCTGATAACAAGCCTGTGTTCCGCTCTCGCTCACCGTGCTTGTAAACTCCAAGGAGGAGACACTTGTCCGCCTCCAGGTCCCACCAGAGAGTGGGAAGGTCGGAGTGGTCGGGCTCTGGAACCCGGATCTCAATCTCACTGAGGAAAGGTCATAAATCCAATGAGAACATATGCCAAGAACTACTCAAAAAGACAGAAGCACCTTTTATCCCCTCAGCAGGTCTCACCTGGAGCACACTCCATCCAGGACCTTCTGCGACCTGTCTCCAATGACTTCCTGTTTCAGGTAGTAGAGCATCCGGACCCGCAGGAGCACCCTGCAGGGGGACATGGGCAAGCGGTCACAGTGAACCGAGGGCTCGGAGAACACCCACGCAGCACCACCAAAACCCAAAGTCCACACACCCCCACGGTGGAAACATGGCTCCTGCCACCACCATTCTTACACACTTAATGGGGGGCGTCTATGCCCCGGGATAAGGTCCCAGCTAATGCTAAATGACATTTGCATCGTCACACCCCGAGAGCGCAAAGGGACAGACTGCAGAGAGCTTTTATAGAATAGCTGATTTAAATAGGTGGGGAGAACAGGGGCAACAGACAGATTTCAGGGAAACACCAGCGAGCGAGCGCCAGTCTGATCAGGTTTCTGCGGGTGACTCACTGCCGGGACCATTCAGCACAGCTAGCTGTGTGGGAAGAGGCAGTGGTGATGTGGCTGCGGGGCGGCAGTGGGGAGAGGCTCTGCTGTCACGCAGCCTCGGGGCCACACACACGCGCACTAGCACGTTAGTGCACGCTAGTGTGAGCCAGAGTCCTCGTGCACAGCTTTCACGCGGCCTTGCCACTGCAGCCCTGAGTCTCACCCCTGCTCTATATTCGGAGGTCGCACACAGCCTCACTCCGCTTCTATTTTGTGTGCATAAACACCCTCCACCCTCCTCCCTCCCTCCCTGCGCACACTGGCATGAGATTAGCAGCTGTTTCCTCAAGCTGTCCACCAATCAAAAACTGCCTGCAAGTGTTGGGGGGGGGGGGCGGTGGGCCGCTCCCATCTCACGCCAGCAACCGCCCCCACTGCCTCCAGCGAACGACAACGAGCGACAGAAAGAGAGAGAGAGAGAGAGAGAGAGAGAGAGAGAGTGAGTGAGCGAGGGCGAGAGAAGCCACTGGAAATGTTTGCATGTCTACGGCCTCTGTCGAGACGGGGGATTGCTCAGACGTTTTGGCTCATCCAGCTCATGCATCTCAGGGCTCACAGAACAGAAAAAGGCAAAAAAAAAAAAATAAAAAAAAATAGACACCAAATCTACACAGACAAATTCCAGTGGCGGGGGGAGGGCAGAGAGCAGCGTGGCATGCCTGTGACCCACGGGGCGTCTGCCGGCTTCAGCAGAACCACCCTGCAGACAATAGGAACTTTGTGGAAGCCACGTCCTCTTTATCCAAAAAACGCAGCGCAGACAGCTTTCAAAACTCATCGCTGCGCCTCTCGGCCCGGTACCGCAGAAAGCGATTACGCCAAGCTACTCTTTCAAACCATAATTAACACTTCATCCGTTTAGCTACACCGCACTGCCCTTACTAATTGAATTATTTAACGGCATTGATTCTCTTTATGTGACAGCAATCAAATTAATGCGGAAACGCAGCTACAGCATGTTACTTATTGGGGATCCGCGGAGCCACCAAGCAAAAGCTTCAAGTTGCCATGGAAACCGGACACGTGCTTGCCAGAGGTTGCTGAGAATTGGGACGCGCTGATGTTTAAATGCCTCCTGACAAAGTCAGACAGACGCCAAAAAGCAGGGGCACAGAGGAGGGGAGCAGGTACCAGCCCAGGCCGCTCACTTGTTGCAGTGGTGCTTCAGGTGCTTCTTGTAGCTGTCGTTCTGTAGGATGTGCTCAGGGTTGTGCTTCTGGATCCACTCAGCCTTGTGGATCTCGAAGGTGCTGGACTGGGCCTTCACTTTCTTGCCCTTCCTGCCCCGGGGAACCGGAGTTGACAGGCCTGAAAGGGCAGCACATTTCGTAAGACGTGGGGTTTTCATTTAATGCTGGGTCATTACAGAGAAGCTCTGCTTGAGCCCGGTGGAGAGGCGTCAGGTCAGGGTGGGGCCTCACCCAGATGGTTCTGTAGCTCCCGGGTGCGGCCGTCCTCGGAGGGGGCGATCAGGTCCCACATGAAGCTCTTGATCTTGTCATCGCCGCGGTAGTGCACCAGGCAGTAGGCCAACAGCGCCCGGCAGATCACCTCCACGTCTCGCTCGCTAAGTGGCCGTTTGAAACGCCCGTGCTGGAGGATATCCTTCCAGCGCCCCCACCTGGAGCAAGCGGGACACTTAAGAGCGTGGCCACAAGCCCCAGTAGAGGCCACTGCCTATACCTGAAACCTGTCAGCTCCTAGCAGTACCGCTCACACACACACACACACACACACACACACACTTAGTAATCCACAAGCTGAGTCGCATTTAAGCCATTTTCCATGGTTGTAATGGACGACCCAAGCAGCCATGTAAACCAAATAAATTACACCACACATTAATGGGTCTGAGACACAAGGCAATTCCTGCTTCTCGAACATCCCTGCTTGTACCTGCTGTTTTCTTTTACCCAACTCATTTAATAAACACAAATTAAAAAAAACTTTTCCTAAAGCAACCCAACAACTATGTGGTCAGAGTGAATGGGAACAGTTATAAACATCTGCAAACACAGCTGGATATCAGCTAGTCAGCACAAGAGTGCATGTGACTCAGAGAGGGGGGCGCCAGCAGGTGGCAGCGCTGCAGGTCTCGAGTTTGGCAAGATTCCCCCGAGCTCCACCAGGTGGCAGCAGAGCAGAGTGCAGGCATGCTAACTCACCCATACACCAGCAGGTTTTTCTCCACGCGGAAGCACTCAGTGCGGCCGTAGCTGCCGAGGCGGTCATAGGGACGCCGCAGCTTGGGCTTGTCGTCCCGGTCGCTGTCCCCCTCCATCAGTTCCGCCGGCTCGCTCTTGGTGGTGCTGTAGGGCCGAGTCTGCTTCCGGACCCGCGGCGTGTCAATCACCAGACTGTTCTGTTGCATAACAGCAGGGGCAGAGTGTCTCATCAGAGGACGGAAAACAAACAAAGGCCTGGCGACATCGAGAGGGCACACGAAGCCGGGCGGTGTCGCAGATAAGCGCGGGTACGGCTCGCTCACTCTGCCATCGACGCTGCTCAGATCTATCTCTGCCTTCTTTGCCCACTTGTCCCAGAAGTTGGGGTCATCTAAAGAGATATCGGTCCTGTTGCCAGAGGCTACAAAACTGGCCTGAGACGAAAGAAAAAGTACATTGTAAAAAAAAAAAAAAAAAAAGTACCAAAATGCCAACAGCCCTTGCATAAGACAGTCGGTCTACCTCACCTTGGCAAACGTGGATCCGCGGCCCTCAGACTCAATGGTGATGGTCTTGGTCCTGCGCTGGAGAATCTGGTCGATATCCTCCTCGCAGAACTTGGAGCCTTCGTCCTCCTCTTCCATAAGGGCCCCATAGGCCCCTCGTTTCAGCAGGTCCTCGATCTCCTTCTTAGAGAGCTGCTGCTGGCTCTGTTGGAGGACATGGAACACGAGTATGAAGCTTGTCCCTGGGGAATGAGACCCCCCTCCCCCCATCGCATTGTGCTTTGTCAGACTCCGAGAAGGTGGATGACTTACTCCGACTGTGACGTTCTCCCGGCCGCTCATGCTCTGTAGCACGGCCTTGTCCAGGCCCAGCTTCAGGCTGGCACGGTCGAACATCTCGCGCTCGTAGGAGTTGCGGGTAATCAGCCGGTATACCTTCACTGCCTTATTCTGGCCAATCCTGTGGCAGCGAGCCTGAGCCTGCCCACACAGAAACAAATCTGTCAGGCATCATTAACATCAAGCCCGGGCTGGGGCTACCAGCAGGAGAGTGACATTCTCAGAGGAACAAGAAACAGTATCACGCTGCTACAGGGTCAATCAGCCAATGACAAAAAGGTACAAGCGAGCAAAAGGAACATCAAATTTAAAAATTCAGGTGAAGTTGGTGGAGGGACTACTACTACCACCACAAAATTTTTAACTCATTTGTACCTGGAGGTCGTTCTGGGGGTTCCAGTCAGAGTCGAAGATGATGCAGGTGTCCGCAGCAGTCAGGTTGATGCCCAAGCCCCCCGCACGGGTGCACAGCAGGAACACGAACCGGTCTGAATCGGGCTTGCAGAAGCGGTCGATGGCGGCCTGCCGCAGATTTCCCCGAACTCGCCCATCTATCCGTTCATACAGGTACCTGCAGCACGCATCACACATACCCACCAGTAAGGAATCTTCAACGCATGGACACAAGGCCGACACCTACATCCGTTACAACACGACCACAGATGGATCCTCCCATTCTACACAAGTTCACCTTCTATATCTATGGTTACTTACCTCCTCTGGATGAGGTAGTCCTCCAGGATGTCCAGGCACCGCACCATCTGGGAGAAGATGAGCACCTTGTGGCCCCCTGCCTTCATCTTTGGCAGCAGCTTGTCCAGGAGGACCAGCTTCCCAGCCGACTGCACCATGGCCTGCAGGTGGAAGTCCATGGAAGCAGGACTGTAGACCTCCCGGAAGTCCTCCAAGATCTTCTCCTCAGCCCCTAAGACACATGCAGTACATGCTGTCAAGGGCATTGCTCTGGATTCATAAATCCTAAACCTGGACTTAGTTTGAGATGAAGCATTATAAAACTCCTTATAATCCATCTCTATCAAGGACATTAAAGCTCAGCACTGCATCACAATCGATGCAAAGCTCACAATGAGAGGCGGATAAGAATGTACCAGCAGCGACGGAACGGAAACAGATGCAGACGTGCAAGGGCCAGTGAGAACACGCTTCAGGCAAACCCATAGCAGCAAGGGCAGCAGGTCCCACTGGCACATCAGCGCCGCAGAGAAAGTGTGTCAGAGGGCGTGTGGGAGCCGCCCGCAAGCCTCCCTTCCTCCTGCCTTTCTGTCACAGCCACATGTGGCTACCGCAACCCCCGCGGATGAGGTGCGGGAGCTGGATGGGGACTGCAGCCGCAGACAGACATTCCCAACCCAGCCGAGTGTACAGACCGACACGGTGGTAACCTGGGCGTCATTGCATAAATGCATTTAAATCCCGAGCGTGTCTGGCACCCAGAGGACAGCCTCGTCACCAGTCTTCCCAAAGCCCAAACGCTCGTGGCTGGGAATCACCGCAGCCGTGAAACAGCTCTCTCGGTTACGAAGCACAACGAATCGGAAGAGAGCAGCACATTCCTCACAAAATAAAAGGATTACAATCACTATAATAAACCGGTTTAGTGGTGCAAACACCATAACACGATTAAGTGTGATCAAGCGCTGGGCCGTTTTTTAGGCAGATTACCCGTGGTAGTTTCATTCACCAAAGCAGCAGAATCTAGGCTAGTCAAGGTCATGTGCAGACTGACCATGGATGGGTTAAATTTTTGCATTTTTAAACAACTAATCTCCCAAAGAGGCCAATTAGAGTTCCAGGCTCTCCACATCCATGGTGTTTTTCCTGTCTGGTCACAGTGAGGGCAGCGCATCTCTAACCAAAAGGACACCAGGCGCAAAGCGGGGAAGGGCAAGCAACCTTTGAAATGCTACCTAGACAACGTGGTGTCAGCCAAGGTAAACGTCGCTTCCACACATAAATAACCAATAGCAATGTAACGTTCAAAAGGTACTGTATGGACTCAAGGTGTGGGCAGTTTTCCTGGGGCACAACTAGCAGACATGCTCATTACCCGTCATCAGGTGTAACGGCGATGACCTTCACACGTCATTTACCTTTGATGAGGTATGGATGGTTACAGCACTTGCGGAGTTCCATCATGGTGTTGACCAGGTTAGGCACGTTAGCCTGGCTGGCACCCTTAGCCAGGAAGGAGAAGTTCTTCTCCAGGATGGCGCGGTAATACTTCTTCTGGATGTTTGTCAGCTCCACCTCAATAATGGTCTCCTCTTTGGGAGCCAGCTTCTTCTCGACGTCTTCTTTTAGACGTCTTAACATCATGGGCTTCAGAATGGCCTGGAGTTTCTGGACCTGTACAATAGATGGGGGGTGGGAGCAATCTGGCTGAAATCTCCTATAAAGGCTGGATCAGCCACTAGAACTTACAGGACTAACTTTGGCATAATGCCCCAGCTTAAGTCAAATAAAGATGATATATAAACAAATACCAATGGCAATAAAACGCCGATTTTGCAAGATTCCCCTTTGCAAGACATGGCAACTGCTTTGCATCTAATTTGCATTGCACTTAAACAGGCAGACAGCAAAAACAGTGGGGTACAGCTTGTATTTGTCTATCGGGGCTTTTGTAAGCACACAAGCTGTCCTCAAGTTCTAAACCCCAAACATCAGCAATGTGCAATGATTTTTGCTTATTCAGCGCTGCCAAATGTCAGGCTGACCTCACACTAAATGACATCAGCACCAGTCTGCTTCTCCTTGGTTCTCATTATGTAGACCTCAGCACAGACCTCAGGCCAGCTAAAGTCACATGTCAGCTATAAACCCCCATAAAAGTTAGCATGTTTTAAATCTTAATAAATGGTAATATTAGTATGTTTATGACAGGTTAGAAAGGTACCAGAGTCAGAAAACATCAGTGAAAAAAGTTATTTGCAGAGACAAGCTTGAAATTTAGAACTTAGCTAAGGCTATTCTGAGTTCTTGTATAACAAATCAGGCTTGCAATAGAGTGTCAAGTGATCTGATAGAGAAGGAAGAGGATGATGGATGAGGGTAACATGGAATTTCCGTTTCCCAAAGAAGACAGCTACAAAAGACCACACCAAACAGCACCTACCTGTTCCTCTGTCTTCAGGTCCCCGAACTCCTGCATGAAGGTGGCCTCAGAGGGGAAGCGCAAGGGCTCCAGGAAGTGCAGCAGACTGAAGAGCTCTTCCACAGTGTTTTGAAGAGGAGTGCCAGTCAGGAGGACCTTGTGTTCCTGGAATGCGAGCCCAAGCACACAGCATAAGAACTCTAACTCCAACAGATTGTGACATTACCTAAGTTCAAGCTGTCATTCACTACTTTGAAATGCCCACAAATCTATTCTTGCACTACGAATCCCATCAGTGAGAAAGAGGTGCTACGCTGTGACTCACTGACAAACATGAGGTGACTAAAGGTTTTAATATGTCAGCAATGCCATCTTCTGCAAGACACAAACCAGACTCATGAGCTTGAAGCCCTCCAGCAGTTTGCAGTTCCTGTTCTTCAGCCGATGAGCTTCGTCAATGATGACGCAGCGCCAGTCGATGGCATTAAGCTCTGGACATCCCCCAAGGATCATCTCGAAGGTGGTGATGATGGCCTGGAACTTATAGGCCCCCTGAATTAAGTGACCCTAAGGGAACATGGAGTAACACAAGTCATCAACACACATTGTGCACCTTGTCAACAGCCGCGTGCTTGTATATTATGTGAATCGTGTTCTGCCAGATAAAAACACATTTATTCAGGATAGGTGTAAAAATCACTCAAAGGAAAAGGATGACAAATGCTTAGATTTTGGCAGGATACAACCTACCGAGGCTTTGCTGTTTAGTGGCAAGGTTTCGTGTAACAACAAAAACTATGAAGACTGAAAGGAGAGAAATTCTCCAACCTGTATATGAACCTGCAAGAAACCATCCTGGGATAAAGCTTCTCTTCTTGATACACGGTGCTCAAGGACAGAATACATGAGAGAAGCATATGTGGTCTCAGAGACAACCAGGCCTTACTCTGATGTGGCCTGATAGCACATCACAATAATTTCCAATTTCCAGAAGATGATACGTCTGAAGGTACTGTGCCTGTAGCTACCATAAACCATAGCACTCCCTTCCACGCTCTAGAGTAGGCTAGTAAAACGTTTCTCAATCCAGACCCCAGGGACTATAGCAGGTATTCTGTGTTCCTGGTTATTTGGTTCGCGTGTGCTGGGAACTGGGAGGCGGCAAAAACGTCTGTCTGGGGGTCCCCAACGACTGGACTGAGAAACACTGGCCTAGTGGATATTGACGAGCACTGATAGGTTATTAAGCTTGGTTGGTTACTGAATATGATTGGCTACTGAAACTGCAGTGACAGGCGCCAACAGTTCGGCACCCTGGTACCTGAGAGTCCTTGAAATACATCTCGTATCGCTGCAGCATCTGCCGGCTGACCATGCTGCCATGGTAGACAACGACGTTGAGTTGTGTCCAGGTGTGGAACTCGCGCTCCCAGTTGGCGATGGTGGAGAGCGGAGCGATGATTAAAAAGGGTCCTCGGATGCCAGTGTGGTAGATCTCCTCGAGAAACGTGATGGACTGGATGGTTTTGCCCAGGCCCATTTCATCAGCCAGGATACAGTTACGTCTGAAGGGGGCACAACATTTATTACAGCCTTTTTTTGAGGAGCAGGGAAAGTAGTAAACAGGTCAGTAGGCGTCCACTCTTGCTCACGGTAGGTGATTTCTGTTCAACAGCTCTAAGACCCAGTTATATGCAGTGCTAGAACTAGTTCAATAATACAACACTGTCATTAAAAGGAAAAAACATTAAAAACAATCCCAGGAGGCACATAGCCTCACCAGACCACATAACCCCACAGTCAGGAAGCATTGGGCCCTAAAGGAAAATCTCTTCCCATCATCAACATCCAGCCAATCACAGCTCATGAGCTGAAGAGGTCAGGACAGAATCTGTTAAGAAATCACACTCCTCCCCCCCGGCCAGCATGACCTACATTAAAGGACAGGGCTGCTTAATTGAACTAGTCAGTGCAAATGACCATGCACAGCTATTCCCATTCTGTAACTCTGCAGCTAGGCTTTCTTGGCTGTGCTCCAGTCTGGGGACGGCAGAGTGCTCAGATAGACACTCGCAAAGAATGCATATGTACACGCAAGCACGCACACGTGCATATGTACACAACGCGGCGACAGAAAATACTGATAATTTTCCCCCCTCCCACTTAACATGGACAAGATAAATATTTTTAATAGTTGTCAGATTGTTGAGCAGGTTCAAAAGTTTCAGAAACGAGATATCCAGCATGAACATCACACTACTTCTCAAAACTGGAATGAAAAACAGCCCCGAAGATCCAAGTGGAGATATTTACATGCAATAAAATGCATTTTTTAAAAACTAAAATAAAATATTCACACAGACGCGTACAAGCTGAAGCTTTTTAAACGTGATCAGTACACGGGAGACGTTTCCTGCTCGTTGAAGGACAGCAGTCGGACGAGCGGCAGCCTGGAACTCAAAAAATTGCACGATTCGCATGTGTGAAGCAGCAGCTCCAGCTTCTAGCCAGAGAGGCAGACTGGGAAGGATCAGATGAGGTTAACAGCCCCGATTGCACAAACACGCCCCAGGCAGAGGCTCGGCCCTCGGGTGGGGCTTCACCGCTGCTTCCTGCGTGTGAGAAGAGTGTGCTGCTGTCAGACGCTTGTCACCGCAGTCACCGACCTGTTATACCAGTTGAAGAGGAGCCAGTTGACTCCCTCCAGCTGATAATCCCTGAGGCGGTTGCCGTTGCGATATTCCCTGGACTCCCCCCTCTTCTTCCACTGACTGGCCAGGGGTCGCTCCTGCGTAAGAGCAACGGGGTCAAGGAGCAGCCCAGAGGCGGGACCAGAGGACGGGGGCCATGGGAAAGGCGGGCGGGACTCACCACCCTCCGATGGTCCGACTGGGCTGCTCGCAGCCGCTCAAACTCCTCGATCTTACTCTGGTCGACGTCCTGCTTGAGCTCCCATGTGCTGTCCTCGTAGGGTAAGGAGCACCACTTCACCAGGTAGTACACCACCGTCTGCTGCCAGGACAGGCGGCCCGTCAGTGGGGGCTGCCACGGGGCTCTCCACATGGCCCTGCATCTCCTGCTGACTTCCTACTTCTCTGAACCATGCAAAGGCTACCTCGAAGCACCTACCCATCCCAAAACCACACTACAAAACGTAACAAATCACTGTATCCAAGAATAAATGATTCCATTAAGGACCATGAACCTGGCAGTGAACATAAGCCGAAAAGGGCCCCCCCAAGCCTACTCTGCTGTATGGAGTTCAGCTGTGGAACATCCCCAAAAGATCAGTGCCAATTACCTCCTTGGTATCCTTGTCCTCACAGTAAGATACCTCCAGCACCCTGTCCACCTCAACATAATCAGGGTTAAATGGATCTTCTTCCATCTATGGGATAGGAGGGGAATGGGGAGTCATTTCCTGAGGGCTGAAACTGAAGACGAGGATGAACCTATCGGTGGCGCCTTACGTCTGCGAAGAGGAGGGCCCTCTGCGCCTGCTTAATCCGGAAGCGCTTGATCTTCTGCTGGATCCTCTTGTCCTTCATTAGCTTCTGCTCTGTAGCCCACTCGCAGTGAAGATAGGAGCTGTCAGGGAGGGGGGGGGATCGAGACAGATGCCTGCTCACATTCTGTCCGCTTCATGCACATTTGCACGGGCAACCAGCATTTCTTCCTACAGCACTGAAACTGAAACTCAACAACAAGTACATATGGTTAAAAAAAATGGTCTTACTAGTTTTTGTATTTTACAAAGAACTCCTCCACTTCTATCTCAGCTCCAGGAGAAACCTTCAGGGAAAATAAATACAAAAATAAATAAATAGTTTGTTAAAAAATCTCATAAAATTCAAAAGGTACAACAAAGGTGTTCAAGCCTCTTACTTAAAAGATGAACAACTGATCTAAAAGGAAATACCTCTGTTTTCACATAACGAGAGGACATGATTTTGTCAACGATGATACCATCTTCTTCGCTCGGGTTTGCCTGTTATAAATATTAAAACAAAGTAAACATCTCAGCAAACACTCCCCTCTACGTAGCATATGACCGCTTTGAAGAGGGGGAATACGTTAGTGACACGCAAAATTTTACCACACCGTATCGACCCTCTCCCCACCCTAAAGATGACACCCAGTTCACGTTTTGGCATGAAAAGCAGATTAGGACATAATGAGTGACAATAAGCCTGTGACTTAGCTCACCGCTAACATCTGCGCGGCCGGCTCTTTGACAGATGTGGCCGTCTTCTTGGCTTTGACGCTCACCCGGCCCTCCTCATCCGACGGCATCGACTCCCCATCCTCCGTGTACTTCTTGCGCTTTACCTGCCGGTTGGAGCGTCTCTTCTGGGGGGAAAGCGAGAGGCTACCGTTAGCGTCAGGCCTGGCGTGGATTCAGGCCCAGCTGACCTTTACGCCATTTTTAATTAAGGACCGTCTGGTTAGCCTGCTCACGCAGAGCCTTCATGTCGTGACAAAAACAAACAGGACCCCACGTGATTCTTCTGTATTGTCTGGCTCTTGGCTTTCCTCGTCTGTCACAATGTAGATTCTAGGTAACAGATAAGCCTTACATGCTCTCCTTAATCTGCAGTATGATCCTAATTATTGTAATTAACCATGCTAATGCTAAATTAGAGGTACATTGATAAAGACACAGCCAATTACAGGCGCTGAAAGCATTCATTTTAAAAAAGAGAGCCAACAAATGTAACAGGAGGCTAATGAGGGCCAATCATTATACAGAAGAAAATCTGTGCTATTATGATTGGTTGACTGACAGCTGGCAAGTAACACCTTCATGCCTGTACTCAATTGCCAGGTTATCACATTTTTTATCCCTAGAGAATCAATACAAATTACTGGTTGTGGGAGATTCAATTAAACCAGGTACATAAGTTTTTTTTGTTTTTTTACACAGGAATAATTGCATCTCTGCAGATGTTGCTAATCAGAAATAAGGGTAGGGGTGAGTTGTATTCATTTACTGCCCTGTGATAAAAGAGTGTAGCTGTTCATAGAAACTCATAATCCCATTTGCTTCCCCAGGAACCATAGCAGTGGATTTTAGCCAAACGAATACAGCTGAAATGTCACACAGAGAACATCAAGCCAACTTCTTAACCTTTTCCTTATCAGTCAAAATGTAGCTTTGGACAAAAGCACCTGATACATGAGAGTAAACGTAAATGTCAAAGTGACAGAGGCCAGACAGAGCACCCCCTACAGGATGGAACCTCACCATGTCGTCCTCCTTAGAGGATCGCCGGAGAGGCGGCTCATCCTCTGTCGACGACTCTGATGAGTCATTCTTCCGCTTCTTCTTCTTGCCAAATTTGATTACTATTTTCCTGCGATATGAATGAAGGAGGAGAGGAAATTAGAGATGGGAAAGTAATTACTTACGTTTGCAGCTTTAACTCTTCACATTGAAATGAATGAGGAGGGCCTAGGAGAATTCTCAAGTTTCGATGGGAAGCGGGTGCTAACGCACGGCACAGGCTAAAGTGTATAACAGACTGGGTGGCACTCAAAAGAAAATCTAAACTGCTGTGACTTTCTACAAATAATTGACCATAAATGCATTACTGTTCACATTTGCCAGCAGTGGTATTTTACATATAGCAGAAGGCTTGCTGCAATAATCTGCGTTTAAGAAAGGGAAATATACCAGATTCATTTTCTGAGAAGCAGGTTCAAGCTCATCAAGCTGAGAGTTAGGCTGGCTAGGGGCGCGTTAGTCACATGGTTTGAAGAACAAGAGTAAAAGGAGACCTAAAAGGCTTGGGAACAGAGCTAAGCACACATGGCAACTAACAATGAGAGCTAGAGACTTATACTGCCATGCACACAAAACCAAAATCACTGATAAAGAGTAAAAAGTGGCCGTTATATTTAATAACCATAAAAAAGGTAAAGCCAAACTGACTGAGGAAACACACATAGACATATCTTCCACATCCTTAGCCCAAAGGCCACCCTGATACCTTGCAGAAGCTGTCTTCAGCTCTCCTTTAGGAAAAGAAAACGCTCTTGCTGATGCACAAGGTTTCCATTCCAGATTCTGGAAGCGATACTTTTAGCAGTGGGAGCAAAGAGCCAAAAGTGGGTGTATGAACTCTAATGGACAGACCCCCAGCCAGCAATAGCACATCATGTACCCGATCATCATTCTTTTATATGAATTTATAGCAGCTAGAGCAATGTTTCTCAACCCGTTCCTTGGGTCCGCCAGATGGTCCACGTTTTTACTCCAACCCAGCTCCCAGGAGCAAATACATGGACTTTTTGGTAGTGGGTTGGGAGGGAGCAAAAACATGGACCGTCGGGGGTCCCAAAGGACTGGGTTGGGAAACACTGAGGTAGAAAACAAGAAAAACCTTTATGTGAAAGATCACTGGATGTGTGTTTCACTGACAATAAGGACACTATGTACACATTAAGGCACCTATTCTTCAGCCTGTATCTAAGGATTAAGGGTCCAAAAGGCACGACAAGTGACGCTTCAGGAGGTGTGTCATGAGTGGTCAGCACCACATCCAGCATTTCCAGAGTGGGTCTGGCTTCACCAGCAAAGTCTGGACCTATGTAATGGGGCCGTACCAAACAACCAGGACAGGTCATTCCAGCAGCTTCAAGCAGGGGATTCCCCAACATGAGAAGACAGCAGCCTGAGTGCTCAGCCAAAAGAAAACATTACCTGTTATTCCTGTGTGTAAATGCAATTATTCTGCCATTTTTGCTTGGTGTGATGCCACTAGATTGCATTACTCTTTAGTATTATTTATCAGAAGTAACACGTGCTTTGTGGGGGGGGTGGGGGTGGATGGATGGCAGTCCTTCTGCGAGCCCCAACAACATTGCCAGGCAAAGTTAATTACGTGGGCAGAGCAAGTTAAATCCTGCCCTGCTCAGCTGTTTGCAACTAAAACCTGGGCCATTGAAGTTATCGTCTTGCATACTGCTGGTGGGGCACAACACCACTCACGGCGGATGCAGCGGGAATGGAGTGTCCCTGAGACACCAAGACCATCCAGCATAAGCTCTCGGCTGCAGGAAGGCAATGGACCAAACTTGGTCATTTCAAAGACTCTTCTTCACCTAGTGTGATCGAAATGCAATGTCAAGCAAAGTAAACATTTTAAATAACCAGCTCATTCTTCCTGAAGACGTGATGAAATCAGCTCATTTTTTGCAAACGCAATCTTGTTTGAGTCAGACGCCATATCAATCAATCTTGTATTCAGAAAGTTCAAAACAGGCTGCCAGATGATGGTGATTTTGGATTTTAAAAACGTTGTCGCTGCGCATGCAGCTTACATTTCCGAGAAGCTTACAGTTCAAGCGACACATGTCCGAGTGTCCTCTCTGACGCAAAGCTGTGACATTAAGTAGGGATTACAGCTCAGAGCACGGACTCTAAAGTGACGCTCTGGGGAAGCCGTGGAACATCCAGGGAGGACAAGGGCAGTCGGGAACCGGACATGAACACAATGGCCAGCTCCCCTGGTCAGACTGAGCTTTACAGCCCACGATGACCCTTAAAGGAGATTTTACGGTAGCCCACCAAGGCATTACAACGGCAGAGCTCCTGATCACTGTGAGACGCTTCCTATTAGAGGCCAGTGAGATGCTCCAATGTAAACAAACAAAAAAAAACCCAAAGCTACCAGCAGCTGCTCAGGCAGCACTGAACGACGTACCAAACGTGGATGAATTTTTCCACTGATATCCAACTGCAGAAGTCGAAGAATCTGTTTGGCCAATAAAACGAACGTCATGGAGCCAAGAGGCCTTGTGGAGATAACAGCCTTCTCTGTATGCCACGTCACCCATCCCCCCCCACCCCTGGCCCCATGCAGCCTCCACCGCAGCAGAGCAGCACAATCCCACAAGCCATTCCCCAGTTCATGTGCACCACAAAGGGCTTCCCAGCACACGTGATGAATGCGTCTCTCCCAGCTGATTTAGTCTGAAGCCGAGACAATAGCCCATTTTTAATCAAATTAACACATAATTCACAATTAAATGCTCATCAGCTTTAATTTGCACTCATAGATTTAGAAATTACAAGTGCACTCTGGGTACTCGTGACTGAATCAAACACGTTAATGTCGCAACACTGTTTAACCTCTTCCACAGGTATTTACACATTGTAACCTAGCAATGTGAATAAGCCATCTACCATTAAAACACAACATTTAATAAAGGATGACAAGTTTAATGAACAAAAAAGAAACCTGACAGCTAGCCAAACAAGTAGTTAAGCACACACAGAAACTCTGGCTCATACGCAAATCCAGTCAAGCAACAGAAGCGCATCTTTATTTAGTTAGCAGAAATTAAAGCAATTAAATATGTATCACTCGTGTTAAAGCTATTTGGTTCACAGGGACAAATATCACCCCAATAAAAACTTTTCTTGTGTCCACACCCATGTCAATCATATCAGTATAATTCGAATTTTAAATCACACACACAGACACACACACACACACAGACACACACACACACACACACACACACACACACAGACACACACAATATGTAATGGTAAGCAATTTGATTTTAAGCTAAATGACCCAGGAAGTTCAGCACACAAAGCTACCTGTATCGCTCTGCTGTGACCCGAATCAACCTTTTTTCAAAAGGGGAAAACTGGGCCATGCAGGAACACACACAGCTCTGTGCGAGAACATTGCAGTCACTGACATGCATGAGGGCTAGTAATGCTATTCAGTATACCAGACGTTCACCACCTCCACACGTGGTCTGTGCACCCTCTCCATCACACAAGACTCTAGCCCTGTCAAACTTACACCGCCCACCCACTTACGTTGGCTGGAGGCTCGTTGTTTTGCATCTGCATGGTTAATTGTACATTTGGTTAGGGAATGACCGGGTTGTGACTGCAAGGACGCCTTTCGCTGCACGTCCGAAATGACCAAACCTAGCTAACAGCCAGGACGACGGCAGTGCAACACACCCTGACGCTGTGCTCATTCCACTACTGTCGCCTAGACCACTGGTGCCTGAACGTTCACCATTATGCTTTTCCATGGGCGCCAGTCAACAAAAAGCTAGTTTGCTTTTCGACCATTTCTGCAGGAGAAAGAAAAACACTCGTGGCTATAGCTAGTGGGTCAGTCTGTGTGCTTCGAATGCACAGCCACCGGCTGGGCGACAGAAGTGCAGGGTGAAGGGAAGGTTATTCAAAGCGTATTCATCGCTTCGGGAGAACATTTGCATAGCTGAGAGAGATCCATCAGCACATATTCTGCTCTGTGGGAGGATAGAAATCCTGACGTGGACTCTGCCGGGCTGGAAGGCTCTGGTGGAGGAGTCCACCAAGGCCAAGAGGCACTGGAGAAGATGGCGGTTTCCCAGCTGAAAGCTGTCCTCCACAGAGTCGCTCCACAGCTCAAGGGCAAGACTCAGCCTTAAGACGGGATTAGGCGTCCCTGTCATCTACCCCTCAGCATTTCCTCTTAAATTCCATAATGCTCGTGTTTTCGTTTCACACAATTACACACCAGGGCTGTTCACTGTGCAGGGCACATGTAGCCAAGCGTGCCATGGTGAGGTGGCGGCAGCCCATTCGGGCAGCCGCGTCATGCAAGACGCCCGCGTCTGCCGCGAAGTGCACTGGGGGATCACGCAAACCGGCGCGTGTCCAGGCAACATTAGCTTTTAATCCCCAGCAAACACGTCAGGCTGCTTTTCTCTCCCCCGCAAGATAAGGCTGGGTGACAGCCCCAGACCAGACCTGTTCGGGCACCTCCCCGGAGCTGCCCCCCCCCCCGCCCCCCACGGTCATTTACCCTGCCATAAATAACCACATGCAGCTGTGTTTGAGCCGTCCTACTCCAAAGCCTCAGGGGCGGGGGGGTCTCGACGGCTCGTTACCGAGTTCCTCTGCTTCCGTTAGCCCTACAACTGCCTCTCCCCTCCCCCACAGACACCTCATTTATCAGCTGCTGTGAGGAGCCCCCTGCTCTGCCTAGCGGCGGGCAGGAAGAGCGGCAGCGTGCTGTTAACACAAAGCGCAGCAAGAAGAATGACGACTCCTGAAGGGCTGTGGCTTCTGAAGCCGTGTGCAGGGCTGGGGCAGGGCAAGGAGGGGCGGGGTGGGGCCAGGCGGGGGCGTGTTAATACTTCACACAAAAAGGGGGTGTAAAAAAAAAAAAAACAGCATGTGGCACCCAGGCTTGACCCCCCGCCCAGAAAGCCATACAGACAGCATGGGATGAACTAGATTACAGAGACTAGGGCACACAGGGGCTATACAAAAGTGCCCGTCTAGTGCCATCATTTAAAAAGGCCAAAGTGATGAGTCCGCAGTTTGCTGGATGAAGAGGGCATTTCCAGGGTATCTTCCAGCTGTAGTTCTTTTTTAGATAGAGAAGGTGCCGGTGGGTGGGAAGCAGAGGAACACTCTGGATCTGAAGCGCTGGGTATAACCAGGGTCTCGTGCACGGCAGCCCCAGAATCCACCACCTCACACGGAGGCGACAAGGTGCCGCCAGTCTCAAAATACACCCCCCCCCCCCGCGCCTATGTCTCCAGACATCCAGGTCACAGTCAGCCTAGCAGGGGGAATCATGCACAGTGCTGACACCAGGTCATCCTCCCGGCAGTGCCGGCTTGGAGCCTGGCCACGGGCCACCAAATGACAGCTATCCTGGGGGGGTAACCTTGCAGAAGTTCAAAATATCACAAATACACAACTCCAAAAATCCAGCCTGTCACGACTGGTAGTGATTATCCTACACATCACTTCAAAAGGAGGAAGGAACTCACAAAACAAACCAAATGAAACGTGCGCACACACACACAAACAGACTGCTGCTATCACTGATCTGCAAGAAAACATGGCATACCATAAAGCTCATGGGATGCTTGCCCAGCATTAGGGCCCATGCGATTTCTCACTGAGAATACGCCAGGCCACTCTCAGCATGCCAGGAGTCACAAAAAGGATTTCCGGGGTACGTTCCCAAATTAAACACATACTGCAGTTCTCCGGGTGTCATTTTCAAAGGTTGGGTCTTTAAAAAGGTCCTCGATGTCTTTGGCCAGCCACACGTCTAGGCATGCAACGCCTCGAAGGACTCAAACCACAATACCCAGCCTTCCAGCTCATATCTTCAGCACTGGATGTTCAGGCCCACCACCCTGGGATCTGAATGCCAAGCCTTTCCCACGCGATGCCAGCAGTTAAAACGTCACACTTGTCTCACTCTTCCGTGCCCTAGTGTCAAACTCGCACATCATGGGCTGTCCTCAGGCAATCCGATGACGGCGAGCTTCCTTTCAGAAGCCTTCCAAAAATACACCCGGGAAAATTCACCATGCTCTAACCCTCTACTTAGCCAATGTGCGACAAGAACAACAAGGCCCCGCTCCAGCAGAGGCTACGGCACTCATTCCTGCAGCCCAGATGCACGCAGATAAACAACATTATCCGGGTGAAACGGTGACTCACTGTTTACCCTCCGTCTGCCTGGCAGGTATACAGCTGACAGCAACTTCAATATTCACGCTGCCGCACAGTGGAGATCAGCGATAGATGGCTAACTGGCCTGCGTGACGTGCCCAAGTCCAAGGCCGAAGCCACAACACACCAGGGAGGATCATGGGACTGCAGCAGCATGTACTGTTACCCGATGGAAGCAGACTTTCCCTTGTGTGGTTCACGTCTCTTTTAAAAGGTACGAGCACGACAGACAATCCGATCAACGCCTCGACTGCGCCTGGTGCCCCATCCATTTCTGCACATTTCACAGGCATTATTGAGGCGAGCATGTTTTCTATGCCCTGACAAAGGTACACAGAGGGAAATGACCAAGCTAAAGAGAAGGCAACAAAAAAATAATCCACTAACGATGACATTCGTAAAACCATATTTTAACCATCGTAAAGTGATACCGCACTTACCCAACTTTGGCATTCTGCTTGTCTTTGGCCTTCGAGGGCTTCTCCCTGGGCCCCCTGCTGCGGCGATGGTCTGGCTGCTGCTCCAAGGTGCAGGGCGAGCTTTGGGGACTCATGACCCTGGGGAGGCCTTTATGCCACCCCCTCTCCCTGGCTTTAGTCAGGGGTGCCGAAATGATCCGGTTAGCCTTTTCCTGCTTATCTTCCTGTGCCGCCTCCACCAGCTGTTTCCTCTGCACCCTCCTGTCTGTGGGGGGGCTCAGCAATGCAGACGCAGACAGAGAGGAGTTCTTCAGAGGGCTGAGGACCCGTGGGTGGTTGCTGGAACCATTAGTGTTCTTTCGAGGCTGAAAGTGGAGGAAGGAAAGAGGGTGGGGGGGGGGATACATTTATAAAGATTTCATCAGGCATTTCTCTCATTTTAAGTCTCGATACGTTTGCATCTGGAAACCACACCAACACCACATTAGCACCCTGCTACAGTAAAGGATCGCGGACAACAGGTCAAGTAACCAACAATCTAAGACACACTTATTGGTTCCCAAGTCATTTCACACTTTGCTTTTATTTCACTAACAGACATGAGAAGTCTAAAGCTAACATACGAGAGCAGTAGCTGAAGCATGTCAGATAGGGGGGGCTTTAGTGTTTTATTACATACACACGTCTTCAAGTTTCCAACTTTAAAAGCACACAGTCTGGCAAAGGAGCAGACCTGGTATGGACCAGATACAAGTACACAACCGTGTCTATTCTGTAAGCAAAGAAAAAGTGCTCAAGGGCAAGAGAGGGAAACCAATCTAGTAGCTACAAAAGCTTGCGTAGCTGTTCATGAACATCATAGTGGCAGCAACCTAGGAAAAACTGAAAGAGACACTTTAAACAGAGCAGGTCAGCTACTGCCTCCTCTTGGTGCCAAGTTGATATAACAAGGAGAGTCACATACAGGCAGGGTCGGCCTTCCCATCCATATAGGAGTCCTCATGTTGGGGGACCAATCAAGGGCTCATGTGACAGGAGCAGGTGGCCCAAACAAGTCACCTACTGGGGCAGCATGAGATACATGGGATAGAGCACAAGGAAAGGGGAGAGACTGCGGGCTGAATTTTACAGCTGGAAAGAGGAGTTACACGGGAAACATACAAGGACGTGGCAGCGAAGCAGCGATGGCAGCAGCACCAGTCAGTAGGACAGCACAGGGGGGGTGGGTGGGGGGCAATCACTCACAGACCAGTTAAAGCCGCCCCACTCTCCAGGCTCCTTTAGTGTCTCACTTACCCTTCATGGCCTCTTCACCGCAGATGTCCCCCTGCCCCCCCCCCTCCCACCCAATAAAAGCTTTGCCCTTTTTGCCGAGACATACCCATCCCAGCTACCACACTTACTTTGGCAGTTGCTATTCCTCTAGCCAGCCACACCCCTCCCCCCACCCCCGATCACCGCCACGCTTCTCCCCCGTCCTCTCCCAGATGGCACTGAGCTCCAGGGGGGTGGGGGTGGGGCAGCATCTTTGGCCAACGGAGAGTCTCATTTGGCAGCTGTTAGGTTCAGGACCCGGAGGTGGCTTGTTCTCCCCGCCTCTGCGTCGACCCCTCTGCCGGTGGTCTCTCCCCCTCCTCCCCCCCCCCCCCCCGCTCCTTCCTCTTACATCCCATTCCCCCTCAATACACAAAGGGGTTTTGTGCAGTCTTCTCCGGCTGCTTGGTTTTTCCCTCATCTCATTTTTTGTCCCCTCAGTCCGAAGCCCCTTCCTCCACTCCAAGAAGGACGTGGGTGACAGACCAGCTAGCAGTAAAGGCACGCAGCAGGAAAACATGTCGGCCTGCACGTTACCGATGTGATTATGGTCTGGATGCGTCTCTGACAGCTTCATATAGCGAAAGTAATCAGCAGATGGTGTTAGCATTTACCGAACCAACTTTACACATTTAATCATAAAACATGCCTCAGTCCTTCATTAGGCCTCCAGGCCTGAATTAAAAGGCAAAAATGAATATTTTAATATCACGCCCCCTTAACTCTACCCACAGGAGTAAGATATTCGACAGTGCCAAAAAACAGCGAATGAAATAGCAAGTGAAAGATGAAAATCTTATAAATCTCCTGCATACCCTGGTTAAGCAGGACTGAAATAAACCAGGACTAACTAATCAATTTTTCTTTCCATTATGGAAATTAACAAAACTTGTCCAGTACTAATTGTCCAGTATTATTGTTATAGTTACCACAATCTAAAAAAAAAATTAAGGATAAGCAGTTTTAATTGAGAAAGTACCCATCTCATCTCATGTCTGTACATCAGATATTTTAATAGCGTTACAGACTTATTTAAGAAAGCAGACTGTACAGGTGACTACAGGAGAACAGCATGTGCAGGAACACGTTGACCAGTGCTGGTCCACACATGACCTGTGAGTCACAGACAAGTTTGACAACAGCACATAATTAAAGGTCTGAGAGCTAGTTCTTCTGGCGTCACTCACGCTGTCAGGTGCCATTTCAGGTACTTAAGTACACACAGCACATCACAGCTCACCAAGATCATGGAAGGAACCTTAACCACATTGCTGCCAAACTGCCGTCCAGAGCGTCCTTCACATTTACGGCCAAAATGAGTTGTACCTCCATATCGGTGCAAAAAACCCAAATAGCTACTGTCACTTTGCATAAAACAGAATGATTCTTTACTATATTCATTTGCGCCTGCCACTCACAATGATTTTTCCCCCCATTAATGAAGCTCAGTAGCCAGGGACTCCTTAAGATGTGAAGTGGCCTGGAGTCTTGCCTACATGAAGTTCTTACAGTGAGCACAATTATATAAGACATAAACTATAACAATTGCTGTTAACATGCCAAGATATGCAGGTAAATATGAGTATACACACTTTCTCTGATTACAACATACAAATCAGCTTTCTCAGTAGGACTTCCCTTAATTGGCTGTTGAGCATTGGCTTACACTAGGCAGAGGCAAGAAGGCGCCAAGATCTTTGAGATCTTATTGTTGACAGGTACAAATAAGAGGGATACAAGTAGAATTCAAAAATATTAACTATACTGTGGAACAACATGAAGACAATCAAGAAATGGAGAAATATAGTTCCATCAAAGCCTCCCCAGGATGAGGCCGTGCAGGACACAGCTGCAGATAGCGGAGGCTAAGACTACCTTAGCAGTGACTATAAAAGAACAGCAGGACAGGTCACACCACACACGTAGCCGTCGTGTATTGCCCCAATGACTTATCTGTGGTGCCGAGTGGCAAGTGGGAAGCCACAAAAGGAAAACTGAGTAACATTATGGTGTACCATCTGCAAAAAGCACGTGGGAAAACATCTTATGGTCTGACAGGAATAAGGCATAACATTATGATGTCAAAAAACATGCTACCTAAAGCCCATCACAGCTTATCACCCGAACAGCCCAACACCTAGTGCCCAGCACTGAGCCACGGGCCCGTCTCTCCTTTCTGTTCTGCCACTAAGGCATTTCCTGCACCCTCTCATTATCTCAGGCCCATCACCTCCATTCTGTCTGACCCTGTGGTTTGCAGTTTGAAAGCACAGCCAAGCTGTGAGCTTGAGGCCCAGAGTCTCAGTGATCAGCTTGCATGCATAGATGTGTGTTACACAAACAAGCTGGGTCAGTGTCTGACCAACAGACAGCGTCCACAGTTAGAACCCTTCAAAACTATTTATAAAACTGCCTGATTGAATGTTTATCCTAGCTTACAATGTGCCAGCAACGTTTGTCTAGGTCAGGGTTTCCCATCCTAGTCCTCGGGGACCCCTACATCCCTCCCGGCCCATAGCCAATCGCCAACAACAAATACCTGGTACAGGTGAGTTGGCAGCTGCAAGGGAGCAAAAATGTCTAGGGGGGTCCCCAAGAACTGGGTTGGGAAACACTGGTCTTGGTTGAATAAGCAGATGATAAGACAATCTAGCAGCAACATTGAAGTAGTTAAATTTTTAACCAAGATAGCAGATACACATATGTTGCATTATATAATGCAATCTAAAATTAACCTAGCCAAACTGTGCATTGCATTCATGTAGGTTATGTTGATTACAAAGCAAAATCTGGGCATAGCTTGATGGTAGCTAGCCAACTGATGAAATCAAGTTAGATGATGCCAATTCAGATTGTAAACAGACTCCCCCCCCATATTCCCAGTGCATGTCCCACTGGCATCTGGGAACTGCAGAAGTGTGAGAGAGGGGAGACTGTGTGGGTGGCTATCAAGGAGTTCCAGGGTGGGCATTTAATGAATTAATTATTTTGTTTGTTTGTTTACACACACACACACACACACACACACACACACACACACACACACACACACACACACACAATAAATCAGCAGGGGGTGGGACTACACACATTAACGCTGATCTGAGGCAAACACAGCCAGGCATTGCAGCTCTACTACACACGTACACCGTTTTCCTCTGAACAGGAAAAAAAAAAAAAGTTCTCTCCCAGATCTGACAAGCAGAGACAAGCTCCACATGTAGACGTGCTGCTCTCTAAAAAAGTTTTTGCACAGAACCACCAACGGAAATGAGAAAACCTCAACACCCAACAGTACACCTCACGCCTCTCTGGCCTTCTGAGGAAGGGTCTTGTCTGGCCCCAGGGTGCCTCCCCAAAAAGCAGTGCACCAGCAAGCCCCTCCTCCAGCACAGCGAGGCAGCGGATGCCAAAACTCCATTGGGCTTAAGTCAGCGGACGTTATTCTGACACGCATCTTCTCACTCTTCCCACGCAGATACAGATACAGTGAGCTATCTCCCCAAGAATCCAAGAGCTCGCTCACTCACTCACACAACCAAACCCTGTACTCAGACACCACACTTACACGCTTTGCCTTTAGCACTGCACAGGTATGGCAAGGTGTTCCGCTCTGAAAACTCTGAGGTATTCATATTTGGTTTTGGTTGGGAGGGGGGGCATTTGTCATTTTTTGACAGGGTGAACACCAGCCCTATAAGGAATTAACAATGACACTCGGCCAATGCCAGCAGCACCCAATCATAGTTAAATATTTGCTTTATCATTAAGGACTCAGACAAGGTAACTTTCACTTGCAAGATAGCATTGGCAGAGTTGCCAACTTATTTACATCATGAGATTTGATCCATACGGCACAGCTACTGCGATAGCGAGGTCGCTTTTAGCTTATAAGAGCCAGATTGTGCCATTTTCTAGCAAAAAAATATTAGCTAAATTTTTTTGCTAATTTCATATTTAGTTGACTTCCTCCAACAACTATTTGTCCTTTATAAAGAGTGCAGAGCTGTTCATTTTAAAAATCATCTAATCATTTAAACAATTATCCTGA